AGTCACTGGCCAAGTGTCTGGGAGACAGGTGGGGACGTAGGAGCTCAGGCCTGTGCCCACCTGTGTGCCACGTCTCCTAGTGCATTGTTCCCATCATGACCCTGTGTGTGCACATGCTGGGTAGACCCCTGAACCCCTGAGGAAGGAGAGGTGCACTCAGGGTCACAGCGGTGAGCGGCAGAGCAGCTCCGAAGCCCAGGATGGCAGCACTTCTGTACTAACGCACTTCTCTGTAAGAGGGACCCGGGCAATTCAGTGGCTGACCAAATCTGCCCAGCCTTCTGAAGCTCAGTGTGACCTCCTCCATGGAGCCCTCCTTGATTATTCCAGACCACAGGGATATTTAAGGAACAGGGCCTTTCCCCGCAGTCCCCCTTAGTTACCTCAGTGTCTGTGACTTTTGCCCCCTCGTTAGACTAAGCGCCCTCGGGAGCCAAGGACTGTCCCTCCCTCTGTCTTCAGCCCAGGCAGTCCCCCTGAAAGCACCCCGGGGAAGGACGGAGCCGAGGTGAGGCCTTGCTATCCCGTCCCTGCAGCCAGGGCCAGCGCCTGTGGCCAGTTACCTTGCACTGTCGGCGGGACTCGCGGCAGGAGCTGCGGCAGGGGCGGTGGCAGCATGGGCAGTGGCTGTGGCCAGCGGTGGCGAGGCAGCACCAGGGGAGGCAGAAGCGGGCGGCAGCGGGGCGGCAGCCTGGCTGGTACACACTGGAGCATGCTCAATAGGGGTGCTGATGAGGCAGGGCCGAGAAAGACAAAGGTCAATGGGCCCCCGAGACCCTGCAGGCCCCTCCACGACAGGCAGGGGCTGTGCACAGGCGGGCGGGCGCTGCGGACCGAGCAGGAGCCTCTCGGCTCCGGAAGGGGCTCCTCTGGGATCTCAGGGGGTCATCTCAGGCCACAGGGAGGGCCTGACCATGTAAAAGCATTCTCAGTCCTGGAGGGGTCTCCCCGACTTTCTGCACATCCTAACTGCTCAGCAAAACACCGTTCAGTGCGGAAGCTGATGGAAGCACCGCGCCAGGTTCCTGCCCCTCCTGTTCTCCTCCTCCGTTGTCCTCAGCCCTTCGTCACGGGCACACACTGCCTTTGTGGAAGGAAGCCATGGCGGGAACCAGGGGTCGGACATGGTGCTCAAGGCTCTAGCTCTGGAGTTGGGAGAACCTGGGCTTTGGGCCCGAAGAACGCAGGGCCCTAACGGACCGTGCACTGAGGGTGGGGCACGCTGTGAGGCAGCTCAGGGTTATCTGGGCCAGAAGGGGCATTCGCAGACAGGGGCACAAACAGACACGCCAGTGTGGCCTGGGGCGTAGGTTGTCCTGCACACCCGAGTGACGTGGACATGTCCCTCAGCACCAGCAGAGCTGGAATGCCTGGTCTGGGAGCAGGAGAGGCCACCATTCCGCCAGCATGGACCGGCATGGCAGACGGCAGGGGCCCTGGCAGAGGGCAGCACAGGCAAACCGCGGCTGAGGACCAAGTGCCCACAGGCCCCACCCAGTGCCTCGGCTCTGCAAGGGCCTCTGTCCAGAACCGCTCCAGGTCGGCGGGGCAGTGTGAGCTTGGGCCGCTGGGTTCGGTTTCTGCTCCCTGTGGAAGGTGGCAGAAGCACGCAGTGAACGGGGACGGCGCAGAAGGGCACCTTCCTTCACGTTCTCTGCTCTTCGGCCTTGTTTGCAAGAGACGGGGTCATGTGACAGAGAGCAGCCTGCTGAGGGGCACGAGCATAGGCCGGAGACAGGGCGTGGGGCGGTGAGAGAGCTCTCTCCGCCGATGGCGTGCTGCCTTCCCCTCTCCACCTCTCCCTCCTTGTGGAACCCTGGCCGGCACACACCCCGATGTGGCCTCCAAGCAGGAGGACTTGAACCGCATAGTTGGACAGGTGGGACCCAGCGCCTTAACCACCATGCTCCCTGTTGGCCCAATAAATGCAATTTTTGGAAGCAGGTCCGCAGACACACAACCCATCGGTGGCCCTCACGCCGTGTGCCGGGCGGCGTGTCCTCGGTTCCACACAGCGGCCCGCGGGGGCCATTCTTGTGAGCTCTAGCCAATTGATGGGACGGAAACAGGATGCGATGGTCCGAGGCGCTCGAGCTCCTCGGGGACAGCAGCAGCTGACGCTGTTTTTTTCTGTTTTTTTTGTTTGTTTGTTTTGTTTTTGTTTTTTGGGGTTTTTTTGAGAGTTTTTTTGCTATAGGGCAAGTGTGCTCACCAGAGAGACAGAAAACAAGAAATCACTCCCCAAAGGGGATTGCCACGCTGCAACCCCTTCTCCTCTACTCCCCTCCTGGGACTCTGGGCACACACGCACACTTGGCAACTTTCAGGCTGCCAGATCTGGAATCGAACTGCGGTCGGCCACATGGGAGTACAACACCGTAACTGCTGCACCCTGCTGGCCCCCGGCTGTTTTGATCTGAGGCCTCCACCAGTGCCTCTCGGGTAGAAAGAAACCTCTTCTTGTGACAGCTCAGCAGGGCCTTTCCCTGAGAACAGACTGCTCTCACCAGAGGGTCTCAGCAAGTTGTGGGAGGAAGCGCCAGCTCCTCCATCGCTTCCTAGGGGCTCCCAGGATGGGGCGGGGTGGGGGTGACCGCATCCTGCCCAGGCCTTCCCTGGCTCAGGGCCCTGCAGCAGCACCTGGCCCTGGCCCTGGCCTGCCCTCTGTGAAGGAGCCGGTTTCTGAAAGCCAGCCTGTGATGCAGCTGCCTCTAGGAGAGAACAAGCCCTGAAGCCGCCCCGCCGCTGAGCCCGCCACGCCACCTAGCTGGCCGCGCTGCCGAGCTGGCCTCCCCGCCAAGTGGGCCGCTCAGACCCCTCTCCTGTGTGGGCAGCTATGGCCTGGGAAGGCCCAGGCTCATGGAGGACACTGTCCCCTCTATCCGCTTCTCCCTGGCTCCACCCCATGCTTCTGGGGCAGGGGGGCAGGTGCTGAGAACTGCGGATACCACATAGGAGCGTGATGGGAAGGCCCAGGCTGGGTAGTACTGTGGGAGGGTGCATGGGGAGATGGCTCGACCTTTGCCCCCACTCCCTGTTGGACCAGCTTACTGCCACTGTCCCCAGCCACAGCCCCACAGGAACCCTGGATTCTGGGGGACAGAGCTGGAGCCAGATGCAGGCCCTAGGAAATCCCAGCGTCCACCGCAGAGGTCATCTGCCAGGACAGAGCACAGCCAGGCCTGAGGGGCAGGGGGCTGCAGCACAGGGTTCTGGTGAGTCTGGCCACAGAGAAAGGCCAAGCAGGGGGGCCCAGGGATGGCAGAGGAGGCGGCGACAGGCATGCTGACGCGGGTTCCTGTTCCAGGTCAGTTCCCAGCCGAAGCTGCGGGAAACCCCAGCATAAAGGGGATACCAGAGAGCACCATGGAGAACTTAACCCACCCCAGCTCAATTCGAAAGACACTGCCCGCGAGGCCCCCAGCCTGCTAGGACTCCAGAGCGGCCTCTCCGGCGCTGTCCACTCCAAACACCTGAGCAAAGCCCAAACCAGACCGAGTGAGACGCAAATGCCCGTGGCTGATGGGTGCGGAGTGGCCGGAAGAACAGCCTGGCTGCAGTCCCCTTCTCGAACCAGCTGGCAGCGAGGAGGAGCGTGCGGCCCTGTCCCCTGCCCTTGGTCTGGGAGAGGTGGGGTGTGATGACCTCCACATCGTGTCTACGGAGGAGGGGCGGGCATGGCGCTGCTGCTGTGGGGCGGCCACTGGCTCAGTTTGGAACTGCTGGCTGTGGCGCTGGCTGGTAGCGACGGTGCTGGGGCAGTGGGGTCACTGGGTGATGAGCCACGTGTGTCAGTGGAGAGGCAGGATGGAGTATGGAAGCCTCTGTGGACCGAGACCACAA